TGGAAAAGGATCAAAGGATGATCTGTTTAATCAAAAATTCATTGAAATCATTTTTTCGTTGATGAAAAAGCTTCCAAATAATAATGAGAATTCTATTCCAAGGCTATATTTTATTAACAAATGTCTTGACATGGTTCCTAAGAATTCACCTCCTCATAAGGATCTTTATCAGAATTTATTTTCACAAAAACCTTTTTCTTTTATGAGCCCAGTCATAATTCGTATATTAAAATGTGAAGAAACAAAAGGAGCATTTATAACGCTTATTAAAAATCCAAATCAAATTTTCACACTCTCTTCAAGGTTAAACCTTATTAGTGAATGTTTAAATGTACAAGGAATTGATTCAACAATGTCAACTTTATGTTGTGATATTATTCAAAAAACGTTCTTTGTGAAATTATCTTTCCCAGAATTAGCAAAAAACTTTAAATATGTTGTTGAAGTACTTAGTGATACTAAAGCTATAGTCTTACAAACTATTTGTGCTATAGCATTTCTTAAAGAATTCGCAAAACAGTTCTGGGATCATTCAATCCAGGAAGACATAATGCAGCCAATCAAGTTTGATGCTACAAAAATTGGTGACCTTGACACAAATGCATTAATCCAAGAAGTAAACACTTCTATGGATTTAACAGATTCATTAATTTATTCTTTCAAAATATATTTCTTAAGAGAGTTACGTGATAAAGGTTTGTCTATGAATGAGGTTCGAACGTTTTGTGAAGCACAACAACAAATATTACCATGGCTTGGCGACTTACCCTGGGATTCAAAAAACGAATCAAGACTTCCATTTAATCCATATTGGTGCCTTAAAGATTACGTTGCCGTTGAAAAAAGTTTTACTACTCTTCATAATCTTAACGACAAAGCATCATTTAATTCATTTTTTGCATCATTAAAAAAGAAAGAATCAACTGATAAACCCTTAATAGCTTTGATGGGTTTTATTATTAGTCGACTTCATGTTATAAGGGCTACACGTGATTGGACAGAGGAAGAAGAAAAGGTTGTAGAATTTCTAAAGGGAAAAGTTGAACATTCAAGTACACCGTCAACCATATATAAGCAAACTATTAAAAGCATAATATCAAACAACCATCCATTGCTTGGAATAAATCCAAATGTTACAAATTCCGAATTACTTGTAAAGTCTGTCATTGGCCATGTAATTGCATTACACGCATCAATTCCAGCAGAATCCAACCCTTTATCATATATGTTACATAACTTGAATAATTGCTCTGATCTATTCATCCCTACTTGTGTGTCTGATATCGAAGTGCGTATTACCATAGTTATCATCACTGATACATTTCACGTCACAAAATATATCATTAATATTTATTCTATTTGAAACAGTCACTTATCATCTCTGCTGTAGTTCAAAGTGGGCAAGTAACTCGGTATGTTTTTTTCAGAAACAAAATTTTTTTTTGAGCTTTTATTCGTTCATACTTTTATGACCAAGATTTTAACTATACACAAACTTATAGATATTCCTGTGAATGTGGATATAAATATGTTATAGCAGACTGTGGTCAGGCATATAGCATTGGTACTTGTCCTGAATGCAAAAAAACAATTGGAGGGCATAACCACAGATCGGCACCAGGGCAAAAAAGATTGGATGCAAGTCCAATTGCCAATACTATAGCTGCAAAGGATAAACCTGGGTACATTATGGAATCGGAAAGTCCATCAATGGTACATTCTCTTCGTTCTCTGACCCCAGTTTCTTATAGAATTTTGCATTTGTTTATTCATGCAATAATTGGAGCCTGGGCACATACACCAACTGGAAAGTCTTTCTTAGGCAATAATAATCGGGAGAACACTGATGCTTCAGCTTATTGTATGGGTCACATTACAAACGACTGGAATACACTTCTAAGAATCTTGAATACATCACATGAAAGTTTAGCATTATTATTGGAAGCTTTTTCATCAACGAAAAAATGATTTCAATGAATTTTTGATTAAACAGATCATCCTTTGATCCTTTTCCA